CTAACCCCCTAACCCCCTAATCCCTTGCTTCCATTATCGTTGATTGAATCTGTTCAATCATATCCTCTGCCGCTGGCACATTAGACACGTCTCCGACCAGGGCGTTCTGAGGAGAGCGTGGTTGATACCCAAGGTCAAGCTCAAATGGTGTCTTGCCCGTGGAAGCTTGTACAGAGGAATTGTATGCAAACTCCAAGGCAGGGAGACAGGTTACCCAGTTACCTTGCCGGGAGTCGACAAAGGGACGGAGCATCTGCTTGACAATCTTCACTGTGACCTCAGATTGTCCATCAGTCTGTGGGTAGGCCACAGATGCCATGGAGAGGCGGACGTCAAAGCGTGCAAACAGTGCTGTCCAGAAATTGGAGGTGAACTGTGTGTCTTGGTCTGAGATGATGACAACTGGCAGTCCGTGAAGCTTCACGACATTGTCAAAGACCAGGTTTGCAGTGTCTGTTGCCTTGTCGGTGGTGTGGCAAGGGATGAAGCGTGCACGCTTGGTCAACTTGTCAACAACAACAAGGATGCGATCGAACTTCTGTGCACCTGAGAGAGGCAAGGGGCCTGCAAAGTCCAAAGTAATGGTATGCCAGCGATGTGGAGGTACTGGCAAGGGTTGAAGATAGCCATTCGGCCCAGAAGTGTCTGCTTTGTTGCGCTGGCATGGGCCACAAGAGAGAACATATTTGTTGACCTCGGTGTATAAACCAGGCCAGTAGTAGTTCTCTGCCAGCTTTTTCTGGGTCTTGAAACATCCAAGGTGCCCAGATGTAATCGAATCGTGGTGATCGTGAATCAAGTCAAGGCGTAAAGGCATCTGTGGGATACACAGACGCTGGTGCCCGTTTGGAATGTTGCGGATGAAGAGTAACCCATTGACCAGTTCAAATCGTGCAAGGTGCGGTGGAGGGTTGTCAGACGTGATTCCTTCCAGCACATCTTTGAAGTAGGGGTCTGTTGTGTATGCTTTCTTAATATTCTCAGTAACCTCTGGATTGGTGTGGGCGAGCGTTCCTGAGAAGTCTGACTCTCGGTCTGGAGTCAACTCTGTGCCCGAGAGAGTTAAGGCGTTGACCAAGGGAACAGGATCCCGTGACAATGGGTCAACGTTGGAGTGCATTCGGCCAGCTCGGTGGCGAATGGTCATGTAGTCCCGGTATGGCTGAAGCTCCATTGACCAGCGGAGAAGGCGCTGGTTCGATCCGTTGAACTTCAGAACCCACTGGAGAGCTGAGTGATCGGTGATGATGGTGAATTTTGATCCATGGAGGTAAGGTCGGAATTTGGTCAGGGACCATACAATTGCGAGGCATTCTAGCTCTGTTGCAGTATAGTTTGCTTCTGCCGAGGTAAGAGTGCGGGAGATGTGGGCAATGGGGTGTTCATGATTGTCGTCCCCTATCTGCGACAATACGCCTGCCAACCCAAGGGTTGATGCATCTGTGTGAAGGAGAAATGGCTTGTCGTAATCTGGATGCGCCAAAATAGGTGCCTTCATGAGGAGGGATTGAAGGTGTTCAAAGGCAGCTTTCTGCTCTTCTTCAAATGTCCACTTTACGTCCTTCATGAGGAGCTTGTTGAGCGGAGCTGCGATCTTAGAGAAGTCAGGAATGAACTTCCGATAATAGGAGAATAAGCCAAGACTGCGCTGCAGCTCCTTGATGTTGCGAGGGTGATGCAATTGCTTGATTGCCTGAACAGTTTCTTCGAGTGTTCCAATGCCAAGATTGGACACAGAGTGTCCAAGGGCTTTGATAGACTGATATGCGATGTGGCTCTTAGAAAGGCTCAAGGTGAGGCCTGATCTTTGAACCAGAGATAGGACTGTGTCAAGGTCCTTGAGGTGAGTTTTGAAGTCATTTGAGTAGATGATGATGTCGTCGATGTAAACAAGGGCAATCTGCCACTTGTAGCGGCCAAGAACCTTGTCCATGAACCGCTGGAAGACAGCAGGTCCATTCTTGAATCCGAAAGGCATGTAGCGGTACTGATGAAGTCCACGATGGGTTCGGAAAGCAGATTTGTGCTTGTCGGCTGGAGCAATAGGAATTTGGTGGAAGCCTTTGTTGGCATCAAAGGTGGAGAACCACTTCTTGCCTGAGAACTGTGAAAGGATGTCATCGATCCTGGGAAGGGGATACTGATCACTTTTAGTGAGAGCATTGACCTTGCGATAGTCGACGCAAAAGCGATCCTTCCCTTTCTGCCGGACAAGAATGGCTGGTGAAGCCCAGGCAGAGTCAGATTCTTCGATGATACCGTCTTCCAGGAGCTCAGCAATCGTGCAGTCGATGGTTTGGCGAGCGAGAGGAGAAGCGTGGTATGGAGGCGCAGATACAGGATGATTGTCGCCAGTGTCAATGGTGAATTCAGCCATGCTTGTGGACCCAAGTTGACGTGATCCATAGCCAAAGGCATGCTTGTTTCTGAGGATAATCTCTTTCACCTCTAATGATTGTTCATCAGGGAGTTCTGTGTTGATGTCAAGTTTCGAAATTGGGAATGTTTCTGCTTCTGCAGGCCTGAGCGTATTTGTACTTGGCTGAGAGTATCTTGATGAAGTGAGTGGCAAGGGCCGACCGAGAGGCCTTCCTTTGAGGATAGTGACTGATCGGTCTCCAATGTTAACAAGATGCGCAAAGTGACAGTTTGCTTCAGTCTTGCCAACAGATCGGGCCACGTGGATGTAACTTCCTGTGCCGAGAGGATCCAGCAGGTAGTATTGAGTGGATGGCATCTGGTCTGGGTCAATGTCGATTGGGACAGTTGCCTGGTGGCCTGGCTGGATGGTATAGGTTTGGGCTAGCCGGCCTATAGCTAACTTCCCTGGCAGAGGACCAGAGTCCTCTGTCTGGGGAACACGACAAGTAATGGGGACTTGTTCATCTGAGCTGCTGAATCTCAGGACAAGCCGCTCCATGTCAATGATAGCTTGCAGTGGGTGAAGGATGTCGTTGCCAATCAAGATGGGTGTTTGCAAGTTATCAATAAGGTGGAAAGTGGCTGGGACTGTCATGTGTCCTCCTTTAACAGTGATAAGGTTGAGATCGACCATGACAAATCCTGATACCACTGCGCTGCCAACACCAGTGAGGTTCATTGGTTTTTGCTCCTGGACCTTGACATTGGGAAGGTAGCGCCTTGCGTATGCTGAGTCCATAACAGTGATGGAGGACCCAGTATCAATGCAGACTTTGTGGATGGTGGAACCAGCCAAGTCAGTGTTCAGACGGCCAATGGCGTAGATAGGGGTTTTGGTTCGATGAATGTTGGCAAGAAGCTTCCAGGCAGTCTGTGACAGGGATTGGACGCTGGAGCGGTGTTGAGCTATAGGAGTGAGGGACTCTGCACTCAGGGTGTTGGTCTTTGGCCTGCTTGGCCATCTGGACCCGTTGTTGTTCGGAATTGAGTTTACTGAGCTCTGAGGGGGTGAATAACGATTCACTTGTGCTGTGTTGGTGCGTGGGTTGGATGTTGGAGGTTTGGCGCGGTTGGGACAATCCCTTTGCCAGTGCATTCCACCACACCAACAAGGAGTCTTTGGGAGAGTCTGTGATGGGCTGACAGGAGCCCTGTTGGGAGCTTGGTTTGATCGGATTGAGGGGGTGCTGCTAGCAGAGCGGTATGAGCTGAAGCTAGGTGAGGGTCGAATGGTGTTGAATGATGCTCGACTTTTGCTGTCGAGTGTAGATGCAGATGGGTTTGTGCTCCGAGTTTTGAACGAAGGGCGTAGACCTGGCTCAAGGTCTATAAGAAGGCGTCGGAAATCCTCAAGAGAGTGTACCTCCCACATTGAGGACTTGATCATGGGCTGCATGCTCATAGGGATGCCCATGATGAGGTCGTTGATGAGGTCTTTGATAGGTGTGGATGCTGGGAACACTTGCTTTTGAAGGGAAGTCTTATCGTCGAAGTAGTCAGACATGCTCTCATTTGCGCGGAGGCTGCGGAACATGCACTCGCGACGCTTCACAACATCATGGTTTGGGATGTGGAATGCATTACGAAGTGCGTCCTTCCACAGCTCCCAAGTAGTCAGGCTGTCCCTTTCTCCAGGGGTTAAGTTGGCAAACCAGTTTGATGCTTTTCCTGTGAGAATCAAAGGGAGGATCTGGAGCAGATCACGGTTCGAGACTCCAGAGTAGGTGAAGATTGCATCGACCTTGGATATCCAATGGTCAACATCTTCACCATCCTTGCCAGCAAACTTCGGTAACTCTGATGCCTTAAGCCGAGGATGGCCTGATGATATTACAGTAGTGGTTGTGGGAACAGCGGATGCTTCTCTGAGTGGAGCAGACTGCCGGCGGGTACTGTTGGTGATGAACTGGCGAGCATCTTGGAGTTCATTCAGGTCCCGTGTATGTGCTTCCTGCATTCGTAGTATATTATCCTGCAAGTCATGGATGTAATTCTGTTGGCAGTTGCGGTCATTCTCTGCCTCGAGAAGCCGATGTGAAAGTTGGTCAAGCTGAGTGCGGAGCGCTTGAATATGAGCCGTAGTGACAGTTTGGTGATCTGTCATGTTGTCTTCAGTTGTGTCAGTCTGTGTGTTGTCTGGTAGTTGTCCTTGAGTTGCTCCTGGTGTGGTTGATTGGTCGTGTGGTTGGCCTGCTTGGGATGTGAGGCTGCTGTCTGTTGAGGTTGTGTGATGATCATCGGGTGTGGTTTCGGGTAGCTCAGTGTTTGTGATGGTGATGGCAGGGGTTGGTGGCACAGCCTGCGGAAGTGTCGTAGTCAAGGGCTCAAGGGTAAGGTCTGACGTTCCAACAGATATAGGGCCCTCTGTTGGATTCAGGTCAGCACCACCAGTGTATGAGTGACGGCGACTGGAGCGGGTGGACATGGGCATGGTTTGTCAGGGTAGTGTGACAGATGTGGAGCTTGATGATAGAGGTGTGTCGGGTCGTCAAAGATCTTTGGAGATGGATTAGGGTTGTCTGATGTAAGTGTAACGAGGGTTACTTGGCCAATGGTGGGTGTGTGGTGACACGTGGCAATCTCTGTGCCAACTGCTGCAGACAGTTCTTCTTGAGCGAAGCTATACTTGTCAAGGTGATCGATATCCGGAGGACTGTGCGTTCCTACTGCACGATACCGGGATTATAATCCTGAGGCGGGGATGTGTGATGAAGACTGATGGTTGTGTTTGATCAAATGTGGCCTGTGGTGAATGTGGGTATGTACAAAGTGTGGAGACTAGTCTGATATGTGTTTTGTGGGGTTGAGTTAAATTGTCCTGGCAATGTCCTTTGTTAACAGTCCAGCTGTGTAACTAGAAGATGTTTGTGTGGGTCGGTGTCGGAAGAGGTAGATGTAGAGAGGGATGTATTGTAGAAGCACTAAGTAGAGCAGAGGTCCAAAGGTCATCTGCAAAGACTGTGTATCGCGGCGAGGACCCCAAGTGTAACGTGGGCTACTATCGTCTCACCAGTAGGCAAGAGTCAAGACCTTTGTCACAGCTAATTTATATGTCCGGTCTAGGCCAGAGAGTGCTCTGCACCAAGGCTCTTTAAGTAGTGCAACTGTATACAGGAGGACAGAGGAGTAGAGGGTAGGGTAGGATGGCAAGGAGTAGAGTATAGATGACGAGGAGTAGATTAAGGGTGACGCCGAGTAGTGTAAGGAGTGTGAGTAAGGAGTGGATGTCCTGATGTACTGGACAAGTGTTAAAGAGCGTGGGGGTCGGAAAGAAGAAGAGTGGGAGGTCGGGATTAAAGAGTTGAGGAGAAGTAGTGTGCATCAACAAGATTGTGCTATCACGTCGCGTTTATATACCTTTTCAAGAAGGCGGGCTGCCCCTGCCTTGGTAGGCTGCCCCTACCTTGGCAGGCCGCCATGGCATGCTGCCTCTACCTTGGCAAGCTGCCATGACAGGCAACCACGGCAGGCTACCTTGGTAGGCTGCCCTTGCCTTGGTAGCGACTCGGTGTGCTCGGTCGACATGCATCTCGGTGTCTTAGCGACTCGGTTTGCTCGGTCGACATGCATCTCGGTGTCTCGAGAAGGTCGAGTCGATCATGTTCATATCAAGTGAGTCGATCGTGATCCCTGCTGTAAGCCCCTTGCTCGGTGGGCTCGGCCGTAGGGTGGCTCGACAGGTCGAGGAGGTCGAGCCTGATTCTGGATGTGTGATCTTGGATCGGTGGGCTCGGTTGATTGGTAGCTTGACAGGTCGAGGAGGTCGAGCTGGTTTGTGTCGGGTGTTCTGGTAGGAGGTATCTCAACTGCTGACCATGTCTCTTCTGGATATTCGGATAACATTCCCAACCAGCTTCATTACATCGGGAGGCCAGGCTGGAAATGGACAAGGATTGGAGCAGTCGTGAATGCCAACTTAAGTTTCTCGAATGCTTCTTGTTGGGCTGAGTCCCATTTGAAGGGAACATCTTTCTTGGTGAGATGGACAAGTGGTGAGACGATCCGGCTGTAATTTCGAATGAAGCGCCGATAGAAGTTGGCAAAGCCAAGGAATGATCGAACACCATTGAGATTGGTCGGTGTGGGCCAGTCAATGATGGCTGAGACCTTCTTGGGGTCCATCTTGATACCTTCGGGAGTGACAATGTAACCAAGGTAGTCGACTTCGTTCTTGTGGAATTCGCACTTGCTAGCATGGGCCCAGAGTTCATGTTCGCGGAGCTTGGCAAGTACTTGATTAACGTGGTCGACATGTTCTTCCTTGGTGTTCGAGAAGATCAGGATGTCGTCAAGATAGACAATGACAAAGTGGTCAAGGAATGGGCGAAGAACATCGTTGATGAGGTTCTGGAAAGAAGCCGGGGCATTGGTGAGACCAAAGGGCATGATGAGATATTC